AAAAGAAGCTGGAAACTACTATTTGGGGTTTAGGGTTTAGATCCTGTTCAGATTCCACCTCTAAGACTCCGCAAAGTAGCTTGGACCCTCAAACCAGCTATACACAACTGTCTTGCGGACTGACATCTGTGAGAGGGTACCGCCAGAAACATTGTGGAACAATCCTGCCTCGGGTGTTGTCCTGCATGTGGCAGATGCACCGATATCGCCTCAGATATGAGCTATAGTCTAAACTCCTAGTATCCCCCTTAATAACCCCCTATACTAGTCCCCTCAATACTACTCATCCCCCTTGAAGGAGTTTTGATTATTGCTCATATGTCACGGCCAATGGATCACGCAAGAGTGGCTTCAGCAGAACCCTGCCTGGTCTCAACCTATGCCCTGCATTAACAGCAAAGGCAATAAATCATAGCAATAATCATAATAAATGAGGTTAATAGGAATAAACAAGAAGAAAAATCATCAGAATAAGAATACGAACATAAGAAGAAGAGGAAGAAGCTCGTTTGCAGACACGGCACATCTCCTGGCTCTTTGGGGAAGGCTCTGCCTTGACAAGCTGCACGAGATATGGTGACATGCGATCCTTTCCAATTCTTATCCACCATCCTTTGTCACGTCTCCAAAGTCCAAAAGCGAAGATCACATGCCCACCTCTAATAAGGTCGATTTTGTCGAGACATCAGAGAAACAGCGGATAAGCAACCCTGTGGGCGGTGCCTCCACCTCCAAGCCGCCGACCCCTGTGCTGAGGAGTCGGGTGTGGTCTACTATGCAAAGATGGCTGAAGGATTCTACACTGTAGTTCTGCACTGCAATTCAACTCAGGAACCAATCAGAATCAAAATGGAACTACACACTGCATGGGGCAGGTTGATGCGAGTGGAGTTTGTGTCAGCAAATGCACACTGTTCAGAACACGCGGAACACCATCAAGATTCTCAAGCTCTTTCTTCAGAATTGCGAATGCCAATGATCGCCCGTTGATCTTACTGCGCAATTGATCTAAAGCTTCCATCCTAGCTAATCTGGAATTGTTGAGTGCAGCCTGCCTAGGCCTTTTCGCAGCACGTCAGTGTACGCTTGCCTCTTGCTCGCCTCACGGACAGGACATGCGATGACAGTTAGACTCAAGGGAGTACCGAGCATGGAGTGCCGGAGGATAATGACAACAACTTGGAAATGACAACCATTTCGCTCATCTCTCTGCAACAACCGTATGACCGCAAAACTCTGCCAATGAAGCCTCCTTTTCACGTGTTCCGTCTCCGCACAAGCACATGGCCATACTGGCGACCAACGCGCCAAGGCCGACCACCAGTTGAGCCAAGGGGGCAAGCTTTTGCCGCAGCTCTTGCAATGTCTGAAACGTGTTGCCCGACCTTGTCTCCGAATAAGGCGGGCTCACAGCGTCTCTCTCGGTGGACAAGATGCAAGTCGTGTGATACTTCGTCAGAACTGCCTCAACCCAATCACCACGCTCGACCATCAGCACAGCCAAGTGAACTGCAGAGCATTTACCTTCTGGGCCTTCTACATTGTTAAAAGCAAGCTTTTCCGACACAATCTGTGCGCTCCCTGAACGATGTTTCCTCCTACACCTGCAGCAGAATGCGCGGGTCCTCCAGCAAAGGGGCTACTCATGCTGTCTTTGCAGGATCGCCCAAGCCAGCCAGTAAATACCAGCTTGCTTTGCCTTCAACATAGCAAATTCTTCGGCGATGTGCTCAAAGAAAATTGTTGTGCGCAGACAGCAATCTCGCAATTCTCGTGTGGCCCTCCTTGTCTGCACAGGAAAGAGCCGTATCGCCATCGTTATCGACCAGGTCTTTGTCAGCTCCAGCC